TTTTTAAACATTTTTATTTATGGTACGGGAAGTTCCAGCACTAGTTTTATAATTTATTTATCAACATTACAAGAGTACAGATAAAAAATAAAACAAAAAAGTTAATAATTTTAAAAATTAGCAGTGGTCGAAGTGGGGGGTCTCAAAAAGTTAACACGTGTACACAATTGCAACCCTTCTATTAATCCGAAATGAAAAAACAATTATTTCAAAATGGCATTTTGCCTTAAGGCAAGTTGCAAAAACTGCCTGATAGATGTTATAATTGACTTTAACAATCGAATTGAGATTTAGATATTTAGATACAATCTCAACTGATTATTTCGAAAATCAATTTTTTGTTCAATTAAGGCAAAGCTTTGCGGTTTGTGCATTTTGTGAAATATTTTGTTAAACTTTGATGAATTTTGAAAATAAACTACTTGTCGTAGGGACGTAATATTTCAGTATGTTCTATAATAAGACCATGATATCTATCGTCGAAAAAAGTTTCTTAAAAATTCTCAAAAAAAAATTGTCAACATTAATTACAAGAATACGGCTCGGTCTAACTTTACATAAAACTAATCAGTATCGTTCCTAACTAATATCTTTCGAGAAGTTTTTGATTTTTTAAAATCGATTCAAGATTGTGAGCTAAAACGAAAAGGACGAAAAGTTTTATACTTTTTTGCAAATTACAAAGAAACGGCTCGGCCGATCGTCGCACAAAACTGAGAAACGATAGTCCTCATCGAGATACATAGAATTGCTTTTAAATTTTTGAAATCGGTTCAGCCGTTTTTGAGAAACGTCGACTAAAGATAAAAAATCTATTCACACACACACACATATATATATATATATACTTTTTCCAAATTTGGTCTCATTCGATTCAAAATGGTTTGAAACGTTGAGAAAACATAAAATTATAGCGAATCGGATTTTTTGACGAAAACATAAACTTCTCCTTCGGGAAGTTAAAAAAAATATGATGTCGCTATGGTAGTATATATAGGATTAAGTTAAAAAAAAAGTTTTTTGACAAAATGGGGACTGTTTAAAGGAGGCTAGACTAGAGAGAAGTCTATAAAGAAGATTCTTTGAAAATTTCAAGTGAATGGCTCAGTAGAATTCGAAAAATCGTGTACATCGTATTATTCGTATTGACAAAAACAGTTTAGAGAAAAACGCAATAAAAGTTTTGCAAAAGGAAGATTATTATGGTCAAATAGCTGTTTCTCGGAAAATAATTTAGATTAAAAAAAATGCTTTTGCATACATATATTCTTGTATAGTTAAGATTCTTTGAATTTTTTACACTAGATATCCCCTTAAGCTGTAATTTTAGGTAGATGATGATAATAATCGAACATATTAAGAACATTAGAAACTTCTTAAAATTAATTTTCCGAAAATTTAATTTCCTTGAAATTATATTTAAATAAATACTTAAAACTTATCCTGTAAATTAACTCAGTTATAGGTGAAATTTTTTAAGTTATTTTATTTTTATTTTTATTTTGACTTTATTATAATTTTTTTCTGACTGCACAACAATGCGTCGTCATTGGAACTATCTAAACTAGATGTTCTATTTCAACTGTACTTCTGCCGCTGATTTCATATTGACATCGAATTGAAAAAAAGGAATCAGTTTTAAAGTGAGCACCATATTTGGCTGAAGTCTTTCTTTTTTATATTATTATTATTCGAAATGTGTGACTTCACGCTAATAATCAGATGCAGAAAATGGTTCAATTTTATTTTATAGTCATTTACATTAATACAACTACATTATTACAACTTTTTTTTTAAAAAAAATCAAGTAATTTTAAAATATTGTGCATTTTGAAAATTTATTTATTGTATTTTCTATAAACTATCAAATAGTTTAAATGAAAATGTTAAACGAAAAACGGAAAACGGAAAACGGAAAACGTGTGAGAAAGTGTTAATTGTAAATACTGTAAATATGTTTATTATATGGCATGAGAATCATTCGTTGCTATTGCTCAGATATTGAATGAAATGGTGATAGGCGGCTGGCGATGGCTCGTAAACCGCGCTCTTCGCACCTCGGCGCGTCTGCATCCGCGGGCGGCGCGTGTGTATGTTGACCTCTCTTCCGCGGACCGCCAGAAAAGCGGGCGCTCTCCCCGCAATAACGGACACTCGCCGGTGCTTCTCCCTACCTTCTTGCGGCGATTTAACAGCGGCATCGCGGCCATAGTTTCAGTTGCATTTTGTCTGCTGTAGATAACGCGCGCGTCGATCATTGACGTTGGATACATTTCATGTGTTTCCTCGTTACAACATTCTGCTAAAGTGTTGTAAGTGCCTGATAGGAACAGTTACATCAGTGCTTTCATCATTCTTTTCAAATGTGATTATTTTTGTGAGACAGTGTCTTAGTGTCGAAGCACGCGACCCGGATGTGTTGGAACCGTACCATATCTTGCCGAAGAGATCAGATGTACCTACGCAAGAATTCAGTTGATTGTGAAAACTGAAATCAAACAGTTTTTTTTATATATGGCGGCCTAGTGCTGTGCGCGTGGAACGCGCTCTATTGAAAGCGACAAAATATAGAGATATAACATTAGGGATTATTCGCTATGTTAGCGGATGAGAAGTACTTCAGAATGATAGTAGACCTTGATAAGGTGAGATCTAATTAATAACTTCACGAATCGCATTTGGAATAAATAAAAATTAAAATAATCAGCACGTTCCCTTATAAACAGCAATCGAATGTTTTTTGAATAATTGAAATCGGTTGAACTGGGTTTCGGAAAATTGCACACACACATACACACATAAATCCATTTTTTCTAAGGTATGCCAAAATGTTCAGTATACGTAAAGATATATACAAATTTTAATTTTAGATATTTTTGCTATAAAATATTTTCGCTAATGAATATTTATCTTCGATAAATATTTTCTAAAGTAATTCGCTAAACGTTATATAGACATCAAAACAGGAATGCTGATATCACTGTTTCTACTAAATCATTATATGTTAATTAAAATAAGCATTTCGAAGTATTATAAGGACTTTTAAATTTTACATACCTCGTTTTACGCATATGTGCAATTCCACAACCGTGTGTGAACCGCCGAGCACGCACATCCCAATTGAAAGTTGTTTCAGGTGAAAGGGGCATTTATCACATCCTGTAGAAAACATATTTACAAGACAAATCATTTGAAGACCCACTGAATTCATCATCATAAATACTACATTACCGTGTATTTTTTATATTTTCGGTATACATTCTTTTCTTACGCTGGTAGAATATTAAATTCTAAAATTAATTTTCTGTGATGAATTTGTTTTTTTAATCATTTTTTAAATCAGACTCGCAAATCCCTTTGTCATAACTGGACACTATTAAAGTACGATTCTCTGAATGCTTTCGATGCTACTGAACTTATTAATATATGTATATCGAAGCTTTCTGATGTGATGCATGTATCAAACTTAAACACAATGCTATAATTTTAAAATGATAATCTTACGCATTCATAGGCGATCTCGAAGTCGTATCTTTACAGTTCTTATGTTATGTAATAAAGTTTATTTTTATTTTGTTTTATATCGGGATATCATTGGATATTATTATTTGAATCATTCATTTGAGTTTTTAGCATTTGTAAACACATGCGTTCAATGAAATCACATATATACGGTTGAAAATCACTGCATTAGCATTGTTTAATTTTAAATGCTATAGGCTTTATTGATGTCTTACTTTATTGATGAGTATTGCACGTTCTCTTTATGCTGTTAGGAAATCGCTATCCTATTATGTAAGAAATTAGCGTATGAAGTTGCGGCATTTCTCCGGTTTCATAGCTTCAAGCAATTTATAGAACGCATATATATGTATATATATATATATATATATATATATATACTCTTTGTTTTTCGCCATTTTTACAGTGATGAGGTATCAGAGAATACACAAGCCATTATCCTTTACTACCGATTTGGTAAATAAACGAACTACTTAACTTTCACAGCGGTTAATTTGTTTCCTACATTCTTGTTAGTAACACCCACCGCTATTTGTTTGTTTTGATCAGAATGATAGTCCGTCACTCTCACGAGTATTAGAAGATAGTGGAACACGGATATATTTACGTATTCTTCTTATCTCGCCTTGTGTACGTCCGGGTACGAGAAGATAGCAAGTATCTTCATTTCAGATATCTTCATTAGTTAATACAAAAACGTAGTTTGTAGTTACTGTAGATGTACTTATTGTAAGTCGTCTGTCGTTGTCCGAACTTATACAGCAATACAGCCGCAAAATTCCTCATTGAATTCATATCTTCGTAGAATTTTAAATGTCTCTTCGTAATATATTTATATCTAACATATTTTCTATTTTAATTGATGTCGAAGTATAATCTTTAGTAAAATAAAATAAAGTACACATTGAAAATGAATTTATAAAATGGTTCAGCGGTAACGAATGCTATAATAGATCTACATATGCTCCGATTTCTCGTCTTATATTTTTTAAAATTTATTATAAAGTTAGCATATATAACTATTCGACAAGCAATTATTAATCTGTCGGTTAAAATATTATTTTAAAATACTTCACTGCTAGAATATTATTTAAAAATACGTTCGTTTATAATATTAAGCAATATTATATATGAATTGAAATATCATCACCATTTTATTATATAATTGATATATTTCATCTTTTTGGCGTACTTTTGTGTTCTTGAAATTGTTTAGTGTATATATTATTTTTCTATATAATCATCGTCAGTTCCATTGAATGTTTTTAGGTTTAATACATAACAATTATTGTAATTTACTCGATTGGTTTTATTCAAACTCATGCTGTTTTTGGATATGTTTCCATTGCTTTCATAGAATGCTAAATTCACGCTACAATATCTACAATTCGAGTAAGTTTTTCATACATTTTCATATGTATTATTTAACTACTTTCAACATTGGTATTAGCTTTTATAGCATTTTATCTTTTTTTCAGCATTATATCGACTGCTTGGGAGGCGGCCATGATGCAGAAGACTCGAGTTATGACTCGGAGGGTGATCTGGACGACGCTAGTCAGCAACACCAAAATGTGTCGCGCACAGTCAGCGACACTCTCGGTCAAGAATTTGCAGAATATGTTAGCACAAATTTGGGCGATCGTCCTCCAGGATATACGGCTCGGGTCGAGTTTGCTCTCAAATTGGGATACACGGAGCGGCTGGTGCAAGCGGCCCTTGCGAGGCTGGGTCCTTGTCCAACGCAAAATGAACTACTCGCGGAGTTGATCAAACTGGGGGCACAGTGCCCAAAAAACTCATCAGAGACAACAGATTGCGGTGAAAGCACTCCCAGAGTGACAACAGAAGTTGGGCTAAGCACACACTCTGTCAGTGAAGAACGATTACGACCCGTGGTCGTCGACGGCAGCAATGTGGCTATGAGCCACGGTAATAAAGAAGTATTTTCCTGCCGCGGGATAAGGTTGTGTGTCGACTGGTTTCGAGCACGAGGTCATCGCGACATTACGGTTTTTGTGCCAAAGTGGAGGAAGGAGAGTCCGAGGGTAGACAATCCAATTAAAGAACAAGAATTGCTCGGCGAATTAGAGCGCGAGCGCGTACTAGTATTCACGCCCTCTCGACTTGTTGGTGGTAAACGCATGGTCTGCTACGATGATCGCTACATCTTGAAATTGGCTGCTGAAAATAATGGAGTAGTAGTTTCCAATGACAATTACCGCGATCTTGCACAGGAAAGTCCAGAATTTCGAAAGGTTATTGAAGAGCGTATTCTTATGTACTCCTTTGTGAATGATAGATTTATGCCTCCCGACGATCCACTCGGTAGATCTGGACCAACACTTGATCATTTTCTTAAAATACAGCCGCGTAAAGGAGACTCGCAACCGCCCTGTCCATATGGTAAAAAATGTACGTACGGTAATAAATGTAAGTTTTACCATCCGGAACGTGGTTCATTACCTCATAAATCAGTAACAGAACGTCTATCTGAGCATGCTGCAAGACATTTGCAGGCTCGTCGAGATCCTAGCCCGGTACGCCGAGTTCAAGGTAAATCACTAAGTTTACCAATAACAAATGATGGCGATAATAGACAATCGTCGCGTAAAACTCCTTTGGGTAGAACTCAGTCGATTGCTCCTGAATTGGTTTATACGGAACCCGATTCCTATCCAAAAAGTGAATCATCATCTGTTGGATTCTCTAATGCATATTATAACGAAACGTCTGCATTTAGACAACTAGCACCTCCCAAAAGTCACAGTATTGAAAATATATCTGGGGAGTACAACGTGGGTTATGCACTGTGGGGGCCTTCAAAAGAAGTAGAAGCTGATTCCACTAACTTGCACCGTAAATTACAACGCCAATTGACACTAAATCCTGGTTGCGATCCTCGCCTATATCGCATGCAAAATAACAGCGTATCCACTAGTTCCAACAATTCAAATTGTGGTTCACATAGAGCGTTGGGTCCCACATTAAGCGGCCCGCAGCAATTTTCGCATTGGGACATGACTAAACTTCAGCCTCATCAGAACGTCACTCGCATTGCTTCCGCGCCGGATTCGAGCAGGCCATGGCACGCAACCTCGTCGGCGGGTCCCGCTAGTACATCGGAACCCCAAATTAATTTGTGGCCTCCCAGAGGCCCAACTCATGCACTCGACACACGACGAAGATTGCACTATCACCTCGCTAGTATTTTTCCCGAGGAACAAGTTCAAGCCGCCATGCGTCTTTATCCAGATGAAACAAATCCTCAGAAAATATGTGCAGCAATACTGAGTATGTTCTCGAAGTAAAATACTGGTGTCAAAACGCTGACAAAGTTAGAGTAGAAAAAAAATGAAATATAAAAATAATATATTCAAAACACTATTTATTCTAATAATATCGGTCTATGTTAAGTGTTATGTATTTAGTAGATTTTGTGAAGAAATAGTAATAATTGTTATATAATTAAAAAATAATGTATGATTTGATGTATGGTATACATAAATGTAAGTATATTACATATATCGCATCTTTCAATGGAAGTTCAGTTAGAATATTTTAATAATTATTGACAGAGCTGGCTAAGGGCCCAACGTTTTAGGCATAAATATAATGCCTAGATGTGTCAAATATAATGATTATACATAAGAGAAAATTAGAGTTATTTTTAACATTTGATTATCAATAAGAATGTTATTTAAAAATACCATATACATACTTAGATGTTTTTGCAATCTATGTATGCCATGTTAATGTGACCATATTATACATATGTTATACAACATACGCATTATTTACAGCTTGAATTTTAAAAATCAATGTTTCAAGCTACTGCTGCAAATTGTTTTTTTTTGTGAAAGTATGAATCAATAATGGAGCATTTTCAAAAACTTTATTTACAAGTTATTGCTAAAATAATATATTTCAAAACGCAAGATAATAAATATTTTTAACGCGGAATGTTGTATGACTTACGAGTATAGCGAACGTCAGTGTTACTAAAAAAAATGCCAACTTTTTTTTATAAACCTGCCTTTATTCATTTATTTATATTGTATAAGTAGTAGGTAGAAGATGTTTATCATAATATTCACTATATTTTTTTTGCAATACCTAATTAGAATCCACTAAGAGAATGAAGAATTGTTTTATTAATAGTTGAATGTTTTAAGTATAATCATAGATATGCTTGTAATAGCTTCAGAATTTATGTTAACAGCTTCACATGTTCTACAAAATATGTACAGTATTTATTGAAGCAATGATTTACTAAAGTAATAATGCCCTCTTATTTCATTATTGTTAATAATAATGCTATTGCAAGAGTTAAAATTTATTATATTTTTATATTATGATAATTAGAATTGTAATAAGCTTTATGCTAGTGTCATATATGAAATACTTTATATATATAGTTTGATAACAACAGTTCATTCCGACTCCTATGGAAGTATCTATATGAATCATTACTACTTGTTGACTGGAGTCGTCTACCAAATAGTGCTTTGAAGGTGTCTTTGAGCTAAAAAAAGTTACTCAAATCTATATTAGTATTACATATGTTGCTTCAAATTTCTGTCTTATTACAAAAATTAACAATTAAGATTAAAATAATCTGAGTAATAATCATTTGGAAAATCCATTGAAATATTTTAGTTTTTTTTTATTTATTGATCTTTTAATAAAATAAATGAAATATTTTTTTGATAATAGATACTATATCAAAATTTAAAATCTCTGTAACTTCATATTGAAGTATTATCAATCTTCGGTGCATTCACCTATATTGATTTAAAAATTAGAAAATATTAAAGTTCTGAAGATTATCTCAATCTAATCCTTAAGATATATTTTGACAATAGTTTACTTGGCCAAAATCAAAATTTCTACCAGTATTGAAAACTCTAGACTTTTGTACAATGCTCTATGTAATGATAAATGTGTTAACATTTTTATTTATAGATGAATCTCTGATACTATGTATCATGTATAAATATATAATAGCATTTAGAATATTTTTGTATCAACATTTACAATTTAAAATTTGTTTTGTTCTATAAAAGGCTTTGTCTTGTATTACTGTAGACAAAGTCTAATCACATTTTGTTGTGATTTTCTTACACCACTTAATGTTATACATTAATAAGTATGAATTATTTATTATTTTAGTCATATCATGTTTAAGATATCTTTCCACATGTTTGTATTGCTTATTGTGTAGCATTTGTTGCTTGTTCTTTATCTTGAAACGCTCATTAGAGTAATTTTTTCAAGAAAATGAAAACATTTCTTTAGAATAAAATATGAATAATTTGTGTGTTAGTTATCAACTCATGAAGTCTTAGATATATAAAGCCAAATTATATTTGAAATAAATTAGCACAAATTATATTATTTTAATTAGAGATATAGAATACATAGAACAAATAGTTCTTCTAAGAGAAAATATATTATTTAAATTGAAAGTGTATAAACTGTGGTAAAACATGTTTGTATAACTATATTAGAACCGTTACATATAATTCATAGAAAATAATAAATTGTGAAATATCAAGTATATGATATGTAAATGCATTTATTATTAAAGAAAATTTGTATGTTTACAATGACTATATTATAGTTTTATTATTTTATTTTTCTCAGGTATTGCAATCTCATGTGATCAAGGTGGTGAAGTATCTACAAAAGTGATTATTCTTGCATTGCTTCAAAACTTTTCATCAATAGGTAAACATTTTGCAGTTAAACAGTTATGTTATTAAACAGTTTTGCAGTCATTTGGGTCATACTGCACAAAATGAAATAATTGATTAAAAATAGGGACTGATTATTAGGTAAGTAGCTTTATTTAATTAATAATAATAGTTTTAACATTAATATTATTTAAATTTTAAGGTTATGATTATATATGTATAGAAATTTATGATGGAGAAAGTTACTTTGATTTGTTCCAAGTTTCTATTAAAAATAAAAGAAATAAATCATATGAATTAAATTTATTGAAATATTTATACAACACTAATTAACACATTAAGAAATTAAACATATAAAAATAATTAGTTATCTCAAACATAACAGTTGATTTAAAATGATTAACTGCAAGTAAAAAGCTAATTTCTTCATATATTCACACCATTAAATTTATATTTATCTTACAAAGTATTCACTAAATTTATTAACTCGACTATCTTGGTCCTCTTCGTACAGCTTTCTTTATTCTTCTACCCTCACTAGGAGCAGCACTAAAACAAAATTATCAGTAAATGGCAATGAAATACTTTTCAAATAATATTACACACTAATATACACACCCAATTTGAAATTGAACAGCAGGAAATGTTTTCAAGTCTGTACCAAAATTAAGACTGTTTGCTGCTGGTTGAGCTGATGTTGATGCTGGTGCAGATGAGCCCAAATCAAACTTAAACCCACCTGCAGTTGTGGGTGCTGCTGTAGACTGAAAAACGTATGTATATGTTGTCAATATACTATACATATTTATCTCATATAAATGCAAATAGCATTCAAAATAAAAAATACCTTAACATTGCTGCCAAATGAAAACATAGCAGGTGATCCGGCTGCTGCAGGTTGAGAAGTATTTGAACCAAAGGAAAAGATTGAACTATTTGTACTAGATGTAGAATTCGCTCCAAATATATTATTTGATGCTGTATTAGTTGCAGGTTGAGACGCAAATAAGGTAGAGGATGGGTTGACAAAAGTAGATGTCTGATTTGAACTAAAATTATTTGGTTTATTATTTCCAAATCCCATACTTGTTTGATTTTGTTGTTGAGTTGGTGCTCCAAATACAAATGGACTTGAAGATGCATTATTCTCATTTCTACCGCTGTTTCCAAACACAAATACACCTGATGAAAGAGATGGAAGCATTTATTTTCTTCTATGATGAGAATAAAATAGTATTTATGAAAAATTATGAAGACGCCTTACCTGGCTTGTCAGTGGTTGTATTTGAAGTAAAAGAGAATGCCGGCTTTTGGTTTGCAGTATTGGAAAGAGCATCTGATGGAAATTGGAACCCTGTGTCCTTTGAAACTTTCAGTTCAGGTGCAGCAAAAGTAGATTTCGAACTTGACCCAAATGTTGCTGTAGTTGACACATTTGGAGAAAAAACAAAGCAAGTTTTCTTAGGTGAAGGATTTCCATTATCCTGATTAGCCTGATCTGGTTGTTTGTCAGCTATTTTAAATAAAGAAGATTCGGTTTGTAATGGTTTTAAGGTTGGTGTGGTAATTTTTGTACTGTCTTCCGATTTTTTAAAATTGGACCCAACACCTCCATTGAATGCTGAAGATGATGATGTACTGCTTCCAAACGAGAATAAACTGTTTGAACTTGATGTGACAGTGGTGACATTAGCAGAACTTGTATTTGTAATAGTAATATTAGAAATATTGTTGTTAGCTTGTGATTTTGATGAAGGTAGAATACCAAAACCTATAGAAACTGGTGGTACAGTGTTATCGGGTTCCTTAGATGTCTTTCCAAATTGAAACACTGTATCACCACTGACTGATGTGCTTGAACTTGTAACTTTTGGTTCAGTGGAAAGATTTGTACTTTGTGGCATACCAAACACAAACGCTGTATTTGTTGTTGCAGGTGTTGTATTCACAGTAGCAGGTTTGGATTCAACTACCTCACTTTTTTCCGTTTTCAATTCATTCGGCTTAACTGTTGCAGGCATGCCAAATGAAAAGGTTTGACTTGTGTTTGAGGTTGCATCTGATGTAGAAGCCTTAAACATTGAATCAATTGTTGCTCCTGTTGATACAGGAGTTTTAGTTACACCATCAGAAGCTTTATCAATTCCAAATTTGAATTCAGTGATGGGCACTGATGAGAAGTTGAACTGATTCTTTTCCTGAACAGTACCAGGTTTAGGAGCTTCGCAACATGCACATTTTGTTTTATGTTGATCATTGCGAGTCATGCAACCATTACACTCCCATTTTTGATTTTGTTTCTTCACTATATCTTGGAACGAACTGGATAAATTATTCTTTCCTAAAGTAAAAACATTTTTCAATGATGCCTGATTGTCAACACCTGATCTAGATGCATTACAGCAAGCACATTTAGTTACCTCAGACTCATTTCTAGTTAAGCATTGTCCACATTCCCATTTTGCATTTTGTTTTTTTAACAAATCTTCGAAAGAGTTTGTGGTTACATTCGTCTTTTTCATGATTGATGTGCTATGAATTGCACATCCTGTTCTTGGTGCTTCACAACAAGCACATTTAATCTTTTCAGTTTCATTCCTTGTCAAGCATTGACTGCATTCCCATTTTTGATTCTGTTGTTTGAGCACATCTTGAAAAGTATTAGAAGTTGTAACTGATTTATTTATTCCATCAGATTTTGCAGCTGTACAGCATATACATTTGTTTTGTTGATATTCATTCCTAGTAAAGCACTGTACACACTCCCATTTCTCATTTTGCTTTTTAACTAAGGATTCGAAAGAATTTGAAAGGGGTGCTTGAGCATCATTGATAGGAGGCATATCAGGTTTAGATTTCTCACAGCAAACACATTTGACTTTTTCTGCATCATTTCTAGTTAAACATTGAATACACTCCCATTTTTTATTCTGTTCGTTGAGTAATCCTTGATAAGAATCAGATGAGGAAAATTTAAAATTAATGCTTGGATATTTAATTCCACAACTTCTGCATTTATTTTGATCGATTGAATTCTTATGTGAACACTCTTTACATTCCCATGCTTCAAACTTTTTCTTTTCAGAACTTTGGGATGATTTTAATGATGATGCATGTATTCTCTTTTCATTTCCTTTCACATGCTCACCACATAAAATGCACTGAGTTATATTTGAATAATTTTTTGCATAACAAACTTTGCATTCCCAATAATTCTTATTATTTACCATTTTTATGAATTCATATTTGTTTGTATCATCACATTTAATCAAACTGTCACTTGTAGAATTTATTTTGTCAGGACTGTGGAATTTATAGGAATTGTTGTCTTGTCCTTTAATATTCAATTTAGAAATCATGGAAAAGTAAGCAGGAAATGAAAATTTGAATTGTGTAGGTAAGGATTTGTCAATTGCATATTGTGGGACTAGTTTAGTAGTAGAAGCAGTAACATTAGGAACGGAAACTGGAGCAGCACTTGTAACAGAAGCACCAATAAAGGCAGGAGCAGAAGTAGTGGAAGGAGCAACAATAGAAGAAGCTGTAGATGGAACAGTTGAAGAGGATGAAATAAAAGTAAAAGTAGAAGATATTGAATCTTTGTCAAAAATGGCAGGTACTGTTGGTTTTAGCTTATTTACAGAGGCGTCAATTTTTGTAGGTAACTGAATATCAAATTTGGGCATAGTGGTAATATTCAATTGCACAGATGGTAAATCTAATGAGGGAGCCGGCTCCTCCAAATCCAAGTTAGTTTTATTTGCCCTCACACTAGATATCTTTGTCTTAACTTTTGTGATAGATTTGTTGTCCATTTTATCGTTATCATCCACTCTGAAATAAGAAGTTGACTATTTATTATGAAACAAACACGGCTATCATTTCGGAATATCTCACTTATCTAAAAGCAAATTATAGTAACAATTATAACATTTCACTATAGTTTACATGCATTATATGTCACCTACATGTTCAAAATATATAGCAAATTCTCAAAATACCTCAACTTATATGTAGTGTCAGGTTTCATTAAATCACTGTTAGAAGTCGTAGCTACTTTTCGTGCTGCTAAAGTACTTTTCTGTAATTGATTTTTATGCAGAAGTTTCAACAATTCAGGAACTGTAGCAACTTGCAATTCTTTCTGGAAACATGTGTTCGAGGACCTAAATACAGGTGACCGTGCATATGGTTTATTAGCCAGTATTGGTGATTGATCATTACTGTCTCTACTCCTATTCAATGATCTATCTAAAGAACCAAATCGTTTGGCATTTTGCACTAAGGTTGGTGTAGGTGAAGTATTAGCCCTGGGGGATGATCCTGTGAAAGGTTTGGCAAATTGTTCTAAGGTTGACAATATTCTTCGAGCTGTTTGGCTCATTTGATTTGTATTAGAATCTTGAGCATTGATGACGATAGGTTCAATTCGAATTGCAGGTTTTAAATTGGGATCTTTTGGTATCTGCTAAAATAATAAAACATACATACATACATACACATATATATATATATATATATATATATATATATATAAACACATAAAAAGCATAACTTTGACAATGATGCACTTATGTTTTAGCAATGCATAATTTTTATAATTTACATAATTTTATTTTTATAATCGATAATCATAAATAATAGGTCAATTATAAATTTTCTATATAGAGTTTATGGTTGACGAAACAGTAAACTTAGACTTGAATAAAAATTATTTGAACTCTTCAAGAAATGCTTCAATATTTAGAAGTCTAAAAACTAGGCTTACCCTTAATGATGCTGTTAATTTTTCTGTCGCTGCCAAGTATGCAGCAGATGATGCACCTCCAAACATTGTTTGGCCCATATAAAAGGGTGATTTACGTGCATTTGACGAAGACTGAACTTCTTTTAACTTCTTGGCAGAACTGTTGTTCAAGAATGTATCTAGGTTGAAACGACTACCCTTTTGAAGACAATCTGATGGATAACAAGGTGTATAACCGGTAAATAAAGACCTTGCACCTTCCAAGTGCGCAGCTACAGAACAAGTATTAAATTACAATAAATTATATATATATAATGTATGTAACAACCATTTTTACTCATGAATAAGTTATGATTACTGATATCAAAAAAAAAAGAACATACTTGTAGTGAATGTTTCCTCTAAGGATCGTTTTCTTGTAGCAGGTGAAACATCTCTGCTAGTGCTTATACTCCTAGGACTTTCACTGCTATGATAACTTGAACTACTAGTGCTCACTCTATTATCTGTTAAAACACTGTGTATGTCATATGTACTAGTTGACGGGGTTGATGAAATCAATCTATTATGACTTCCAAATATTTCTGTACTGCTGGCACGGCTATCATTTCGGAATATCTCACTTATCTAAAAGCAAATTATAGTAAGAGAAGAAACTAAATTTGATGCTTTGAAATTACTAACCTCCTCGACATGATTTGGATCTGTTTTTGACTTTTTCTTTGGAGGTGTCATTGTTCACACTTTTGTGTAAGTTTATTAAAATTTCAGAATGAAATAACTATTGAGTAGGAATACTTAGATACACCGATTACTAGAGCCATCATTCTTATATAACCAATGATAGAAAAATAATACACAATGCAAGAACTTCATTTTAATAAAATATACACTTCATGATTATAATCGTTATTTATCACTTCTCGAATATTTCGCACTCGCACTTTAACTACGGCGGATGAAATTAATCTGCAAAACACTTATCACTTTACATAACTTTTCACGTAGACGAATAATAGTAAAAGTTCAATATCGATTTAGTAAATTTTGTATAAATATATATTAAAATGTCATATTCAATAACCTGCGTTGATGACGAAATAACCTGAAATTTGGTACTCAGAGGAGAAACCATGAAAGCACGCTTGCTGACCATTGCCAGTGAATTGTCGAAGGTCTTATCTATTGTTGATTAATGCAGAAGAAATTTTCTTTTTAATCGGGCCCTGGTAGAGTTGTTCTGAAGTTTTCTCGCGAGCAAGTTCGGGTGTTCAGCTAGGCGATTTCTGTATTTGTTGAGTGAGTAAGCGATTATTTCATCCTTAAGCTAGTGCCTGTGTCTTTGTGTATTAACCAATTTGGAACATATTTTGGTGCTTTCAGAATTTCTTTTAATAACTTGTTTTGAAATCTTTGAATTATTAAAGCGTTTGAGTTGGAAGTTGATCCCCATAGCTGTATGCTGTATGTCCAAATTGGTTTAATGATGGCTTCATAGAGGTAAATTTTATTATGAGTGTCAAGTTTTGATTTTCGTCCAAGGAGCCAATGATATCTTCTTCTGGTTTCTTCTATCTGCTTTCTCTTTTTCTTAATGTGTTCTTTCCAGGTAGTCTCTTATCCAGGTGTAAACCTAGATATTTTACTGTATCTGTTTGATCTATAATTTCGTCATTAAGTCTTACTGCAGGACAAGTCCCTATGCAAAGAGTGAAAGTGATGTGTTTTGACTTGCTGCTGTTAACTTCTATTCTCAACAAGCTTAACCATTTTTGTATCACGTCAAGATGATCCTGCAGCATTTTTGATGTGATTATGGGATCTTCATGTGTTGCCATTATGCCTGTGTCGTCTGCATATGTTGCTGTCAAAATGTCTTCTTTCTGTGGTAGGTCCGCAGTGTATATGAGGTATAATAGTGGCCCAATGACACTACCTTGAGGCACTCCCGATCTGACAGGATGTAATGAGGATGTTTCACTCCTTACACTAACAAAGAGTGTTCTACCTTCTAGGTAAGACTTTATTATTAGGTATATATCAATCGGCAATGCATTTTTTATTTTGTAGAGTAGGCCGGGGTGCCACACCTTATCTAATGCCTGACTAATATCGAGGAAAACAGCTGAATAGTAGTTCTTGTTTTGGTAAGCCTTGTTTATATTGTCGACAATTCTATGAATTTGCTCTGGTGTGCCATGTTTTTCTAAAAATCCAAATTGATGCTCAGGGATAACGTTGCTATCATAAATAAATGGTTTTATTTTACTAATTAAGACCTTTTCAAATATTTTGGATAACGTTGGAAGTAAACTAATTGGTCTATAACTTTGGACTTCATTCGGATTTTTACCAGGCTTCGGAATAATTATGGTTTTAGCAATTTTCCATTGATCGGGATATGATTTAAGTCTTATTATACCGTTAAACAGGATTGTTATGAAACGGTAGGCTTTGTAGGGAAGCTCTTTAAGTATATTAATATTAATGTTGTCAGCCTTGTTTATATTGTCGACAATTCTATGAATTTGCTCTGGTGTGCCATGTTTTTCTAAAAATCCAAATTGATGCTCAGGGAATACGTTGCTATCATAAATAAATGGTTTTATTTTACTAATTAAGACCTTTTCAAATATTTTGGATAACGTTGGAAGTAAACTAATTGGTCTATAACTTTGGACTTCATTCGGATTTTTACCAGGCTTCGGAATAATTATGGTTTTAGCAATTTTCCATTGATCGGGATATGATTTAAGTCTTATTATACCGTTAAACAGGATTGTTATGAAACGGTAGGCTTTGTAGGGAAGCTCTTTAAGTATATTAATATTAATGTTGTCTACGCCAGGTGCTTTTGCAGATTTTGCTCTTCGGATTTCATTTGTAATTTCTGGAACTTTGATAATGATGTTTGATGAAAAATTTGACTGAACTTCTTTCAAAGAATCAAAAATAAATTTTTCTTTTTGTTCCGAGGATTTTGAAGAATTTGGCGTAAAAACTTCCTTGAAGTAAGTCGAGAAATATTCTGCTTTTTCTAAATCACTGCGTGCCCAAGTGTTATCCGGTTTTCTAATTGGAGGTATAGTAATGGCAGGACGTTTTTAGTTTTTTGTGGCTTTCCAAATCTAATGATCTGATATTGTTAAATGGGATAAAAGTCTTGAAATTGGTCGTTTTTAAACGTTGTTATCTGTTGTTTAATCAATTTAGACATTCTGTTCAATTGCGTTTGTCTTGTGGAGATCTGGTTAGCTGCCATCCTTTCTTAGCCTCCTTTTCTCTGCAAATAAGAGCTTTGGTGTCTATAGAGCAAGTGTGAATTTTCTTTTTAATTTGTGGTGGGGTACTTTTTCTAGCTGCGTCTATTACAATTGCACTAAATTTATCAACAGCATTTTTCAGGTCATGTTTGTTTTTCAATGGTATATTACAGTTAAGATTTTTCTCTATAATGTTTCGGAATAATTCCCAGTTTGTACTTATCAGTTAAAAAATCATTTTTCTTGTCTTCTAAAATTTTTGTACTGTATATAACTATTATCGGTGTGTGGTCAGAACTTGGATCAAGACAAGATTTAGCCTGAATGTGTTCATTTGCTATACCTTTCAAGACGCAGAAATCCAATAGATCAGGTAATTTGCGCAGGTCACTCGGCCAGTATGTGGGCTCGCCAGTGGATAGGGTCGTTAGCCCGTGTTTCTGGACGGTTTTATAAAGTTCGTTCCCCCTTGGGTTTGCCAATCGAGATCCCCAAAACGTATGCTTCGCATTAAAGTCTCCTCCCGCTATGAATTTTCTCTGAAGTGTTCCGAAAAAATTTTCAAATTGTTCACAGATGATCTTGTGTTTTGGTGGACAGTAAATTGCAGATATTATTAATTTTTCAGTTTGTTGTTGAATTGTTAGTGATGTGGCTTGTATAAAATGCTCATTGACAGATGTGTTTTGGTAATGTTTGATGTTTTTTCTTATTATTACAGCAGTTCCACCGTGAGCTGTTCCATCCGGATGATTAGTATTGTAAAAATTATAATTGTTTAATTTGAAATAGTTTAAGTTTGTAAAGTGGGTTTCTGAGATCAACATAATATCTATTTTGTATTCTATTAAAAATATTTCTAATTCTTGCCTATGTTGAGCAAAACCATTGGCATTCCAGATTCCAATTATTAATGAGTTACTATTCATTTTAATTTTGAAACGACGGTAGTTAGTAAATTTAGTATGATACTAAATTTGCCTACTAAATCTTTCATCATAGATTTTAGCTCAGCAATGTCGGAATTAGCTTGTTGCTTGTTGCAGACATTTGGATCTGGGATCATTTGGTCTATTGGGTCTGTGGCTTGCGCGTACGATTTATTAGATTGAATATATGACGGTCTGTTCATAGTATGTTCTGTTGGATAATATCTGGTGCGAATTGGGGGAAATCTTTGAACAAATAATTGTTTGTATTCCTTACAACCATCGCAGTTGGCTGGCTGGTTTTCATTACAAAGTACGTATTTGACGTTTTTGTTGATGCGATCTGTCCATTTGCAGTCTTTACTGAGATGATCGCCAGCACATTTTACACATCTTGCGTTTCTGAAATAATACGATTTAGTATGACCATAACGTTGACATTTTGTACACTGTACAATTCCTCTTGTTGGATTTTTAGGCTCAATTTTAATTCTAATTCTATTTAAAAATTCTATGTTGAATATGTCTTTGTTGTTAATGTTTTGTTACAATTTGACGCTTTAATGCGAACTGAGTCATTGTGTATACAAACTACAAGTCCCTCAGAGGACAGCCGAGCGATGTGCTATACTTACGTTGTCTTCAAAAGAGGACAGCCGGGTGCAAAGGGTTAATTATTGCAAATTCAGATATACGTAAGAATTGACGTTACATGTTCAATATTAGGGGAGCCTTTTATATCATCAAGGTTTATAAATAAATTGTATTCAATTATGTTTGTAATTAATTTCTTAACGAACTATATCTTATTATTTAATGAAATGCTGTTTTATACTATATTTGAAGGCTCCAATGAATAGGGTAGCAATGGTGGTCAAACGGACAGTGCTCGAAACTAAACTTTTTATTATAAACATTAACATCACGTAGTACATTATCAATATTATCAAAAGAAATGATACTTATTAGAATTTGTTAGTATTACTGTGTGTTTGAGTCTACATAAAGTGCATGTGCGATGTATGTATGTACGTGTGTATGTATAGTGCCCGTATGTGTGTTGTAAAATAACATAGTTTAACATTATTATGTTACATTACTATATAATTTACTGTAATAGCGATTGGCGTATAATAAATGAAAACAAATAAATACGATCATATCTCTGGCCCAAACGACCTTTTTTTATATTGGATTTTATTTGATTTTCACCGCGGGGTAAAAAGATTGCCGACTGCTGGTGTATAGAGTGTATCACTTATAAAGTAGACTTATAAGGAGTACTTTTATAAACATAGATAAACAATAGCCCGGTCAATTTACGCTTTCGCGGTTACAATAATTATAATGGGCTGTACTTGATAAAATTGTTTAAAATATAATTATAAAGAAATTTCAAAAAGTCTAATCGTTCGCGGCGCGAGCTAAAAAATTGGAACAAGGTCAAGGTTAAAAAAATGATTTTTTACGATTTTCAGCTGAATGGTCAGTTTCATCGCAAATTACCTGAGACGAAATTGTAAAGCGAAAAATTATCTACAAAAAACACGTCAATACTTTTTTCCCTCAGAGCATCGTTTAAAGATATAACTTGAAAAGTATGTTTAAACGCAACCTGCGAGGTAATATGCTTAGCGAGTTTTTCAGGTGGTTTCCTCAGTAGGCCATTTTACGGGTCTGTTGTGACCGACTTTGTTTGTTTCGAAACTATTGCAAAAATAATATTTGCGAATTTGGGCTGTAAAAATAAATGAGGTAATGTAATATAAAAAAAACAGCTAAATCTATTCGTCATAATTTTCATTGTTTTGAATTTTTTTAAAATGCATAGCGGGCCGCTGAAAAATATTTATTGGGCCGCATGGTGCCCGCGGTTTGCTCATCCTTGATCTAATGTATTTGACGCTTTAATGCGAACTGAGTCATTGTGTATACAAACTACAAGTCCCTCAGAGGACAGCCGAGCGATGTGCTATACTTACGTTGTCTTCAAAAGAGGACAGCCGGGTGCAAAGGGTTAATTATTGCAAATTCAGATATACGTAAGAATTGACGTTACATGTTCAATATTAGGGGAGCCTTTTATATCATCAAGGTTTATAAATAAATTGTATTCAATTATGTTTGTAATTAATTTCTTAACGAACTATATCTTATTATTTAATGAAATGCTGTTTTAATACTATATTTGAAGGCTCCAATGAATAGGGTAGCAATGGTGGTCAACGGACAGTGCTCGAAACTAAACTTTTTTAATTATAACATTAACATCACGTAGTACATTTATCAATATTATCAAAAGAAATGATACTTATTAGAATTTGTTAGTATTACTAGTGTGTTTGAGTCTACATATAAGTGCATGTGCGGATGTATGTATGTACGTGTGTATGTATAGGTGCCCGTATGTGTGTTTGTATAAATAACATAGTTTAACATTATTATGTTACATTACTATATAATTTACTGTATATAGCCGATTGGCGTATAATAAATGAATAACAAATAAATACGATAATATCTCTGGCCCAAACGACCTTTTAATATTTGGATTTTATTTGATTTTCACCAGCGGGTAAAAAGATTGCCGACTGCTGGTGTATAGAGTGTATCACTTATAAAGTAGACTTATAAGGAGTACTTTTATAAACATAGATAAACAATAGCCCGGTCAATTTACGCTTTCGCGGTTACAATAATTTATAATGGGCTGTAACTTGATAAAATTGTTTAAAATATAATTATAAAAGAAATTTCAAAAGTCCTCATCGTTCCGGCGCGAGCTAAAAAATTGGAACAAGGTCAAAGGTTAAAAAAATGATTTTTTACGATTTTCAGCTGAATGGTCAGTTTCATCGCAAAATTACCTGAGACGAAATTGTAAAGCGTAAAATTATCTACAAAAACACGTCAATACTTTTTTCCCTCAGAGCCATCGTTTTAAAGATATAACTTTGAAAAGTATGTTTAAACGCCACCTGCGAGGTAATATGCTTAGCGAGTTTTTTCAGGTGGTTTCCTCAGTAGGCCTATTTTACGGGTCTGTTGTGACCGACTTTGTTTGTTTCGAAACTATTGCAAAATAATATTTGCGAATTTGGGCTGGTAAAAATAAATGAGGTAATTATAAAAAAAACAGCTAAATCTATTCGTCATAATTTTCATTGTTTTGAATTTTTTTATTTTTTTTACCTTTGACCTTGTGCCAATTCTTTAGCTCACACCGGAACGATGAGGACTTTTGAGATATCTTTTATAATTGTATTTTAAACAATTTTACTAAGTTACAGCCCATTATGAATTATTGTAACCTCATTGTAATCTTCACCCTGATTTTGGATTTAAATTGACCGGGCTATATACTCATATATTTACTTATACACATTTATATATATATATATATATATATATATATATATATATACTCATATATATATACAGTATAAGAAGAGTATAAGTATATAATATACTTATACTCTTCTTTTATCTATGCTTATACAGTCTTCTTTTATCTACGAATTATGCATAGATAAAAGAAGAGCCATGCTTATATCGTAAATTCCGTTTTCTTTATTCTTAACGACAAATCGGACTATCTAAAAATAAACATGTTGGCGGTGCTGGCGTTGGTGTTGACTGTAGTGTTGGTACTATTTTGATATGTTTAATAAACACTGATATGTCAGAATGTGTTCGAATTCGCTGCATAATTTCTTTGTAAATATACAATTTTTGTTGATATTCTATTTTGCTTCATAAATAATTTATTATTTAATAATATATATTATACATAAATAAATATTTTACAGAAATATAAGTCGAGTAAATGTCTATAACAGTGTCATTGTGCGTTCTTAAAATTGAGATTCGGGACGATGTTTTAGGTACGATTGATGAATGAATTATTTACATTCATTTCAAATGTCATTTGATATTTTTTGAAATTTCGAAAATTGGCCTTTAAATTTTACAGAAAATCAATGTTGTGAGGGTGCAATGTCGACTGACAATAGCAATTCTGTGGGTGATCAGCGTAAACCTTATGATATAACAGTTGAGACGTATGCTAGTAAATTGGCTGGAAAAGTAGATAAAACTTTACCTACAAGCTCTAGAGATACAACACCTTTACGAGATAAAGATGCTATAGAAGAAATTGGAGTGTTCTCAGGAAATCCTTTTGTCGAAGTTACTAAGGGTGTACTTCATCTTTATAAAGAGGAGTGAGTAATTGATGTTCATAAAATTTAAACCTAAATACATTTATATATATACGGTAGAACCTCGATTATCTGGACTCCCAATCGTGACCAATTTATATGCATGTACATACTTACAATTCCAATTTTGCATGATTAATGCTACAGTTTAGTATATGTATGTAATGAAATTATATATGTACATACATAAGAAACTTTCAATTTCTTAATGAACATTATTTTCTTTGATATCTATGTATGTATTTGTTATTTTTAACAAATAAATACACAACAATATTCTTCATACGGATTATCCAGATTTTCGATTATCCAAATGCCTATCGACAACAATTAGTCCGATTAATAGAGGCTCTACTGTATATATATTAGGCTTGCACCGAATATTCGGTTACTATTCAGTATTCGGCATATTCGGCTCTTTTTTTATTATTCGGTCGAATACCGAATATTTGAAATCAAAGGCGCCGCCGCCGCTCAACGACAGTATTGTTAGTGTTTCATCTTTTATGCAATAAAGAGCGATGGATCTGTATTAAGTTTAATATAATATAATATAAGGGAACTTGTTATTGTTATATAATAATAAACTTTATCAATTTTTGATATAAATGGTCATGCGAAGAACTTTTTTTTGAATATTTTTTTTTAAGATACATTATTGTTACATGTTTATACTATTTGATATGAATCATTCAATGGTTACACGCATGTGTTGTATCAATACAATAAAGTCATTCATTATATGAAATCTAAGCATTTCCAAATAAAGAGCTATTATTGGTTCTTTATCACAAAATATACAAACAATATTTTTGATCATTTTTTATTTATTTTGACAGGATTAGCATTTGCAATATATAAGAAATAATATTGAGTTTATAAAAGAAAATATTAAATGTTTATGAAAGAAATAATTGGAAATACATTGACATATGTGTAAAGAATCGCTTTTTTCATAATTGTACCATTTATTTCCCCATCACATGTGGTATTTAAGTATTCGGTATTCGGCCGAATGCTGCTAAACATACCAAATAACAAAGAGTAGCAGAATAGTGGTTGCAAGTCTAGGCATATATATATATATATATATATATATATATATATATATATATATACAGACAACCCTCCGTTAACACGGCACTCCGGGAACACGATTCCTATACTACACGGAGCCAAAAATCCGACATCTCTCTAATAACACAGACTCCATATAACACTAATCTCGCTCAACAGGCACGAGTTCCTTCCATGCCAGCTATTAATGAATCTAGTAACTAAATATGGTTGTTGTAAACATTTTTATTTCGGTTTTATTGTCGACTATTTTATCTTCTACAATATATTTATATAAACATGCTAGTTTAAGATGTAATAGATGTTTATGATGTACGACATCGATTTATTTAAAAAAAATTAACTTGAAAAACTTTTTGCTAGAAAAACATTTTTTTTAGTTAAGCCTTTATTTAATTTTTTATCATTTCTTAGTATAAACCCTTGACTTCAATAAAAACTTGCCGCGTTAACGGAGGGTTGACTGTATATATCAAGGCTTCTTAAACTTTTGTCATTTGCGACCCCACTTATGATGGCGAGTTTCTTGACGATCCCATTTATGATTGCGAGTTTCTTGATGACCCCATACAAAAATGAAAGAAAGAATAATTGTTATCTTTAGATGATTTATTTATTAGATAACATATGTATATATATATATATATATATATATATATATATATATATATATATACATATATACTATATATGTCAATATATAGTTTTAGAATTTTAGAATAAAACATACAAAAAGATATAAGACATAATGTTTTTCATCATTGTGTATTTGTTTATTAGTAGTACTAGCAACTCTATCATGTCGTGATTTAATTGAATTTTTCTACGCGACCCATAGTTTAAGAAGCCATTTCTTATATATATATATATATATATATATATATATATATATATATATATATATATATATGTATATATATATATATATATATTTGCATAACAAACTCAAAAAAGACATAGCTTGAAAAAAATGAATTGCACAATTTGTTTCTCGGCTGAAAAAAACTATATAAAATCACATTCTTTGGTAAAATCTTTTTTAGTAAAAAAGTGCTAGTGTATAATCAATCATACAGGTAATTAATTATGTTTTTTTTTGTCACTTCTTTTTAAAACATTCTAATTTTCTAGCATTTCTAATATTTTGTTATGTAATCCTCTCATTTATTTTTATTATTTTCATTTTGATATATTGTCATATTTATGTAATGTTTTCTTTTATTAATTTTATATAAAAAATTATTACTTTTTGGATTCTTTGTTTGAAGCTATATATATATATATATATATATATATATATATCTAGAGCTATATATATATATATATATATATATATATATATATATCTAGAGCTATAATATATATATATATATATATATATATATATATAATTATTTTAGAAATATGAACAAACAGCACTTTTTGCAATAATTTATTAAATAATATTAATTTTACAAACTTTTCGAGACTAGGTTTATCTCATCATCAGTGGGTAAGCCGAACATGTTGATAGTGCTATTTTAGAATTTCATATTTTAGATTTTAAATATGATACACGGATGATGAGACAAACTTAGTCTCGAAACGCTTGTAAAATTATTATATATATATGAGTAAGTTTTTGAGTGCGATACATCAAACAAGGAAAAGGCAAAAATTTATAGAATAATCTTCAATTCCAAACGTTTCGACATATGATTCGATGTCATTATCAGTGGATATATAAGGTAAAAAATTATATAAACTAAGTAACTAAGGGAATTACAATATTATATAGAAACTTTAAATACAGGAAAAAAACTAGGAAATAACAAAACAACAACACTTATCAGACTAAGGAGAGAAACTTATTGGTAGTCAAATAGTTTCTTTCCTTAGTCTGATAAGTGTATAAAAAGTAAAGTGTATAAAAAATGTTTCAATGGATAAAAATTCTATATTATAATATTGTATTATGTTTTATAAGTTAACAATTTGTATTATGTATATTTTTTTATATTGCTTTATTTCCTAAAAATGTTCAAGGATGTACTTTAAAAAATAATACTTATCATTTTTAGTACATTAACAGAGTCTACACAAGGGCCATCATTGTGTATTTGTTTACTAGCAGTACCAGCAACTCTATCATGTCATGATTTAATTGAATTTACCGCATCTTGCCATGCTAATATACAGCATATTAGAATAGTCAGAGATAATTCTCCTAATCAGTATACAGCTGTAATTACGTAAGTATTTTATATTTGTAAAACATTAGTTATTTTTTTATTATTTTTATTTTGTTTAGATTTAGTTTATTTAAATTTTTATTTTGTTTAGATTTAGAAATACTAATGCAGCAATGGAATTTTACAAAACTTATAATGGGGCACCTTACAATAGTTTGGAGCCTACCTCTGTCTGTCATGCTGCTTGGGTGTCAAAAGTTGAATGGTCATATGATAACCTTCCGCCTCCTGGTCATACAGAATTACCTTTGTGTCCAGTTTGCTTAGGTAAGCTTGGTAAAATTTAACTCAAATACTTATGTAGGTGGTGCAGTGAATTCATTTAATGTTTGTGAGTTAAATCTCCCTTTGAGTTATATGAAACTTTTTAATTGAATGGAAAAATATGATATGTTCTACAAACTTTTATTTTGAGAAAATGAACAATCAAAATTATATAGTTGTGAGAGTGCAAATATGAAGTTTGATTTGTTGATATTATGGATATTCAATGTAATATCTTTCTTCCATAAATGCATTACAACATTCAATATAATATGTCACTAATAATAAATTATAAGGCATCAAAAATAATTCATATGCTTGAGAGCATAACATATATTTGTAAAAATTTGCAAAAATAACATATACTTTGTAAAAATTCTTTTAGATACTGTAAAAAAATTTCAAAAAGGGTTGCTGAATGATGACACACAACCGTGTCGAAACGTATAAATAATTATTTTATTATTTATTTGATTTCTTATATTGCGACAATTGGCTGAAAATCAACATTCAAGAATATGTCTCAATGTCGAACAAAAAAATCTAAATCATATATATATATATATATATATATATATATATATACAGTAAACCCTCGCTTTACGTACCGTGCAGTATAGGGACCGTGCTATAAAAAACTCGTATTTAACATACAATCAATTCAGGCTAATTCGTAGTGCGTTCTATAGAACCTTACATAGTGCAGTATGGGAACCGTGCTATGAGAGACTCAGAGTTGGTACAAATTGCACCATTTTTATCGTGCTGTACGGAGACCAAAAAATACAACTTGAAGTAGGAGTAATACGGACGAAATGACATGTATTACATTGACACCTCATTCAAAAATTGGCGCGACGCAGTAGTCAGCTCAAACGTGTTCCTAGGCAGCTATTATATAATCAGGCATGCCTAAAAAAAGATAAAAGTCGATAACAAAACTTACATTAATATTCTTTTGATATCAAGTTACTAGAATCATACATAGATTGCACAACGAACTTATGGGCTGTTGAACAAATACCGTGTAATAAGAAGTCCGTGTAGTCGGAGGGATGTCGGATTTTTAGCTCCGTGTAATATGGGAACCGTGTACCCAGAGTGCCGTGTAAAGCGAGGGTCTACTGTATATATATACAGTATATATATACAGTATATATATATATACAGTATATATATATATATATATATATATATATATATACAATATATATATATATACAGTATATATATACAGTATATATATATACAGTATATATGTATATATATATATATATATATATATATATACATATATATGTGTGTGTATATATGTATATATGTATATTTGTATATATGTATAAATTTATTTCTGTTATTGCATTTACTAGAAAGAATGGATGAAAGTGTTGATGGAGTTCTTACAATTTTATGCAATCATTCTTTCCACTCTGGTTGCCTAAGCAAGTGGGGTGATTCAACTTGTCCGGTTTGTAGGTGATTAAACAAGTTTAAGAAAATTACATGTTACAAACAAAATCTTTTGCTATTCATAAAATTTATGAGTGATAAGTAATTTTTTTCAGATGTGTTCAAACACCCGAGTTAACTGAAAGTTCCGAATGTATGCAGTGTGGCGGTACTGAAGCACTGTGGATTTGTTTGATTTGTGGCCATGTTGGCTGTGGAAGATATCAAGGTAAGTCTTAGTATGCAAAATGATTTCATAAGTAATTCAAAAATAAATGACATAATAAATCAATGATAATAAATGAATTCATTTTTAAGGTGGTCATGCTGCAACACATTTCTGTACATCAAATCACACATATGCTATGCAGTTAGGCACGAATCGGGTTTGGGATTATGCAGGAGATAATTTTGTGCATAGGTTTATTCAATCATAATAATACTTATTTCATTATCTGTCTAGTAAAATTGAAGTAAATTAAACAATTAATAATAATCCTTTAAAAATAATTTTCATATTTTTTATTTTTATTTTATTATTATTACAATAATTTTTATATTTCTTTTTTATTATTCATAATAAAAATTTTATTAAATTTGATTTAAAAATATATTTTATTTGCGATTAGCGAAAAAATAGCAATAATTGAACCAATTTTTCTTGCACAGGTTGTTGCAGAATAAAGGCGATGGTAAATTAGTTGCATCGGCTGGTAATCAAGATCCAGATAAGATGGATTCTTTGCAACTAGAATTTACGCATACATTAACATCTCAGCTTGAGGCGCAAAGAGAATATTATGAAGAAAAATTACTCAGGTTTAATTTTTCTATTTATTATTTTTGTTTCAATATATTAAAAGACTTTAAAATACAATTTATTTAATAGAGTTGAAAAATCATCAAAATTAGAAATGGATGATTTGAAATTAAAAGTAGAGGATTTGAATATTAAAGTTGAATCTCAATCGACTGGTTTGCAAATTGCTTATAAAGAAAAAAATTTTTTGGAAAAGAAACTTGCTCAAACAAATGCAAAACTTGTGAGTTGTCAATCTGAGCTTACAGAAGAAAGACACATTTCAAATGCTTTGAAGAAAAATCAAAAGGAGTGGCAGTTGAAAGTACTCGATTTAGAAGTAAATAATATTTATATCAACCAAAAACGATTTCTGTTATTTAATTAGTTCATTCTTATGTGATTTGAAATATGATAACTTTTTTTAGAAACGTTGTGAAGAAAAAGAAAAAGAGGTTAAAGATTTAAAAGAACAGGTTCGGGATTTAATGTTTTATATGGATGCTCAAAATGTAATAGCAAAAAGTGATAATCGACATGAAATACAAGAAGGAACTGTTTCAATAGGACCATCTCCATCTGACAAAACCAAAAAAAATAAACATCGTAAACATAACCATTGAAGGTGGTTATATTGTTACGTGTGGAACTTTTATGAACAGTTATATAATAATCATAGGAAAATCGTTGAAACCGTACTTACAGTATATGATAAAATGCTACAATATTTGATGTTTATTTTGATAAATTTATATATTTTTGATTGACAAGTAAATGAATATGTTTTAATTGAAAATTATTTTTTTAATATGTAAATACAAGTATAAAAATTGACTAATTAAACACATATCAGCTGAATAAATAATGAATATGAGGAAAATAGTTCATTATTTTAGTACAAAACAAATGCAAAATAAGACTTTTCATTACTTTGCTTCTGCATCTTTGTACAAAGTTTTTTCGTATATTTTGCGGATTAGCTAGTGTAGAGCAATCTGTGTGAATGTTAACTTGTTGAAATGCAAAGTGGTTGCAGTAGTACTTACGAATTTGTAATTATCCCATGTTGATGTGTTTCAGCTACATTTTGTGGACATGAAAAAATTTGCTACCATAATAATGAATGTAATAAATCGTATGACACTTGCAGGAAATTCGAGTTGCTGTATTGTTATTTAGTAAGGTTGGATATGTAACTATATGTTTTAATATTTTTTTAAATATCTCAAACTATTGGCCACAAAGATTTTCTATCTATAAGATGAAGATTTTATCCACAATCGGCTGATGAAAAAGATGGAATCGGTCAATAGAATTGTCTATTAAATGTGATTATTTAAGACTTTAGTTGATACGAAAATAACAATGTCTTTAGATTATATGTCTTTAGAATAATTAATGTCTTTAAATTATACGAAAATAACATGTCAAAATACAAAATGCCTATAAAAAACAAAATTACTCTCCAAACGATCTATTGTATACATGAGCCTTCAGGGATAGACAATTACCACAAAATATGTCTTTCAGTGCTTAAACATGCAATAGATTTTATTTCGTTGCAAAATTGTCTTCGTTATTTTCCAAAATAGATGAGTTTTTATCGTTCCCATATTAAGTTTAACTGCCATCAATTTTGAATTATTTTATCTAGTTGATGAGAAGATAAGAACCTGTTATGGCCGTTATCCGTTTCGTTTCGTTAAGGTCAACGACCAAAGACTAGTATGAACTCGTTGTATGGTTGTTGTGACAGTGACACCAATATAAGCAAAAATGATCTGCTATTGACATTTCAGCAGATGATGCTTGAAGCATCAAATAAAACATTTATTTTGTGTAATAATAATTAATAGTTCTTTAAATTAATGCAACGTAAAATTATATTTTATAGTTTCTTGGTACTTTGATATTTCCAAATTATACCTATTGTTAAATATATTGTAATTATGAAATATAACGTCAACATAACCTATATAAGTTATGTTAATATATAAAATTTATAATTATTATTTAATATTAGTTCATGTTTTTATTTTACATCTGAACGGCTTCGGATATTTATGTAATTTTAGGATAAAGCATAATTTATAAAAAAGTGTAGATAAAATTAATTCATTCATATTATTGGATTGATTTTCATGTCAATAATAAATTATCTTATTTATTTAATTTATTTAACATAATATGAGTGATACTTTTAAAAAGTTAAGAGAACGATCACAAAAACGAAAAAAACTGTTAGTGCAAACGGTAAGAGTTTAATTAAATTTTAGCATTAGATTTAAACTAATTTATATAAACTGTGAATTAAAAACTATTCCAGTTAGGAGTTTCTGACACAAGTGAGTTGCGACAAGCCTTAGGATCATCTTTTGAAGATAGCACCAAAAAATATACAAGGGATGATGGGAATCGAACATCAAATAAATATGCTTCTCTTAGAATATCGGATAAAGAAAGTAGTGACAGCATTGTTTATACAGACTCATCAACATTTTTAAAGGTATATATTTTATCAACACATAATATCTAAAATTATATCTATTTTAGTTATTATTATATCTATTCATGTCAGGGTACTCAATCATCAAACCCTCACAATGACTATTGTCAACATTTTGTTGATACTGGACAGCGCCCTCAAAATTTTATACGCGATGTTGGTCTAGCAGATCGTTTTGAAGAGTATCCTAAATTACGAGAACTAATTAGGCTTAAAGACTCTCTAATTGCAGAAACATCCACACCACCAATGTTCCTGAAATGTGATTTAAAGGTTTATTGAAGTAAAAATTTAATTAATATTGTTAATATCTTTTAATCTGAACTAATTGAAATTTTTCAACCATAATCAAACGGTCATTGACAAACAAATTTGTTGCTGCATTTAACAATGGCCTTATTTTACAAATAATGTAGCAAAGATATAAAGTAGATATTAATATTAGAAATATTTCCCAGACTTTTGACTTGAAAACCTTGGGTTGCAAATTTGATGTGATTTTAATAGAGCCACCACTTTTGGAATATCAACGAGTCAGTGGCGTTGGTGGAAGTACAGTTGGAAGTAGTAATGCTACTGTAACCTGGTCATGGGAGGATGTTCTAACACTTGATATTGCAGAAGTAGCAGCTCAAAGAAGTTTTGTTTTTCTATGGTGCGGCAGTTCGGAAGGTAATATATCGATGTTCTTTTTATTTTTATTGAAGAACTCATCAATTTTTATTGATTATACTTTCATATTAAATTATTTGTGTAATTTCTTAAGCAATTATTTTTATTAGGGTTGGATATGGGAAGAGATTGTTTGAGAAGATGGGGATTTCGTCGTTGTGAAGATATTTGTTGGATTCGAACAAATATAGAAACTCCTGGACATTCTAAAAATTTGGAAAATGGAGCAGTTTTTCAGAGAACAAAAGAACATTGTCTTATGGGAATTAAAGGAACAGTAAGAAGGTGAGAGGGGTTGCCACTAAGTTATTATAAATTGCGCAAGAATAAAGTTTATATGAATAGATTATTTATTACAGATCTACAGATGGTGATTTTATTCATGCAAATGTAGATATTGATCTTATAATTTCTGAAGATTCTCCTTTTGGTAATCATGAAAAACCTACTGAAATATTTCATATCATTGAACATTTTTGTTTGGGAAGAAGACGCTTGCACTTGTTTGGAAGAGATTCTACTATAAGACCTGGTAAATTACATAAAATTTTTATATTTTCTATATGTTACATTTTCACAATTTCAAAAATAATTGGGTCTCCTGATTTTAGGTTGGCTTACAGTAGGACAAGAGTTAACAAATAGTAATTTTAATAGTGACCTGTATCTGAGTTATTTTGAATCAGGTACCACCACTGGATGCACAGACAGAATTGAGTCTTTAAGACCTAAAAGTCCCCCAGCTTCTTCAAAAAATGCTCCCAGAGGCAGAGGCAGGGGCACATTCAATCGTGCAAGAGGCAGTGCTAGAGGACGTTAGGAAATACACCAATATGCCTAAAAATAATACATTTGTTATTGATAATTCATCAATAAATGTCAACAATAGTAGGCTGTATTTTTAAGCTTAGAATATTTTTATATTTTTTATGGAATTTTATTTACAATGCATCTACTAAAAAATTATAACATTAAGTAGTGGATAAAGTAATTATATAAAATGAATTACTTGATAGAATTATCAGCACTTGATATCAGCACTTGATAGAATTAACAGATAAGTCTATTTATACAAAAATTATTATGTTTTATATCAAATTGTAAATAATGAGAATTGTAATATTTTCTTTTATATAAAAAGGATAATTTATAAAAATTTGTCCACACATTTTAATCTATTTATTTATTAGTCATGGTCATGTTTTAACCGCAAGTGTGTTTTTATTATTATGTTTTATATCAAATTGTAAATAATAAGAATTGTTATGTTTTTTTTATGTAAAAAGAATAATTTATAAAAATTTGTCAACACATTTTAATCTATTAATTTATTAGTCATGGCCATGTTTTAACCGCAAGTGTGTTTTTATCAATACATTTAATTAATAGTAATAAGATAGTGTATTTTAATAAATTCATAATAAAAAACAAAAACAAAAACAAAATTATTATCATACATTTCACTAAAATTGGCTTGCTTCAACAAAAAATATATAAACGAGCTAGAGCAATGTGACAAAAAAAATTTAAATATAGAAGCAAGTGTTTTTATTTCGATAACAAAGTAAAAAAAACAAGAGCATAATCAAATTGGTATTGCAAATTTGACTAACTAGTGGACTACACCTGATTAATTTTTGAAATTTTTATCGATAAGCGTTTTTATCGAGAAGCTATGAGGCAAGCGCTTTTTAAGTGCTCCTCACCTAACGAACGAACATGACGTATAATATAATATAATTTGTGACGATCCACAAACGGTCCGGTTTACATCGAGCGCGACCAAACCTTCACAAATCGTCGAACATTTTTTCAGAGGTGTTTAGTATAATTCGTTTTGTTTTTTAGGTTTGTTTTTGTGATTTTCGTTGCCATGGTTACCGTTGCTTGAATGGAATTTTCAATTAAATCAATATGAATAACAATAATATTTACTTACACTTCGTAGTTACTAATGATAAGTAATTATTTGTACCTAATTATTTATTTCAAATAGTGATACAATAATAATATTAATTGAATGATATATATAATTGTTACATTTTGATTAAAGAAACGTATGGGTAAATTTAACTGAACTTATGAAACAAATACCTCTTTTCTTTAGGTTTCATTCAGGTCTCGATCGTGCTACCCTGACATTTTCAACCAGATCCTTTTAACCCGCTAGTCCATTACAACTTTCATTAGGGTATCATCATAAACAATCTTATACACGGTGAAACACTAGTCATTCTGCCAGTTATTATTAAACATAACGAGATGGCGCCAAACATAAATGCATTCCGCATTGATGCATATAGCACGCTTCGAAATAGTGCAAGGGTGACTATGAATTAACGACCTAACAGCTGTTTCATTGGACTTAGTACTATCCTAAGTATCAACTCAAATTTTTGTTGGGTTTCATTTTGTTCAAATGACCAATCAATTGCTTTTGTCAGGACTCCCGTTCGCAACCATGCCTCGAGATCCGTTGGAGCAGAATCTGATTGGGTCGTCTCATCTGGACTTTTTTGGATCACGGACGAGACCGTCGACTTTGGTCGACCGGGTCTCCAGTCGACTAGCGCTCGCGACAGATTTCAAATTCTTCGTCGAAGAACTCAGAGTTAGTTTATTTGAAAAGTTTGAATCGACTTTATACAAATTTTTACTAATTTTATGTTATTTTTTCCATTTATAACTCTCGCTGTGCTGTACTGATTATAAGTTATATATTTTTTACAACTCATAACGCACGCTGTGCAGTACTGTCTGTACAATTAATAATTAAATTACCATGGCAACCGTCGCTAACATAAAATTTTCAGTAAATTTATTTTGCAATTTTTGTTGCAATGGTTACCGTTACCATGGCAACCGTTGCTGGCTTGAAATTTTAAGTTCATCAGTAGTAGCACACGACGCACAATTTGAAATAACTTTACTTTATTTTATGTTAGCGACGGTTACGATGGCAACCGTCACTAACATAAAATTTTCAGTAAATTTATTTTGCAATTTTTGTTGCAATGGTTACCGTTACCATGACAACCGTTGCTGGCTTGAAATTTTCAGTTCATCAGTAGCACACGACGCACAATTTGAAACAACTGTACTGAAAATTTTATGTTAGCGACGGTTGCCATGGTAACCGTCACTATCATAAAATTTTCAGTAAAGTTATTTTGCAATTTTTGTTGCAATGGTTACCGTTACCATGGCAACCGTTGCTGGCTTGAAATTTTCAGTTCATCAGTAGCACACGACGCACAATTTGAAACAAGTTTACTGAAAATTCTATGTTAGCGACGTTTGCCATGGTAACCGTCGCTAACATAAAATTTTCAGTAAATTTTCAGTTATTTTGCAATTTTTGTTGCAATGGTTACCGTTACCATGGCAACCGTTGCTGGCTTGAAATTTTCAGTTCATCAGTAGCACAAGACACACAATTTGAAATAACTTTACTGAAAGTTTTTTTGCAATTTTTGTTGCAATGGTTACCGTTACCATGGCAACCGTTGCTAGCTTGAAATTTTCAGTTTATCAATAGCACACGACGTTACCGTTACCATGGCAACCGTTGCTGGCTTGAAATTTTCAGTTCCTCAGTAGCACATAATAATAAAAACACACTTGCGGTTATAACATGGCCATGACTAATAAATAAATAGATTAAAATGTGTTGACAAATTTTTATAAATTATCCTTTTTATATAAAAAAAAAATATTACAATTCTTATTATTTACAATTTGATATAAAACATAATAATTTTTGTATAAATAGACTTATCTGTTAATTCTATCAAGTGCTTAATTCATTTTATAATTACTTTATCCACTACTTAATGTTATAATATTTTAGTAGGTGCATTGTAAATAAAATTCCATAAAATTCCATAAAGAATAACGTCCTCTAGCACTGCCTCTTGCACGATTGAATGCAGAAGCTGGGGGACTTTTAGGCCTTAAAGACTCAATTCTGTCTGTGCATCCAGTGGTGGTACCAGATTCAAAATAACTCAGATACAGGTCACTATTAAAATTACTATTTGTCAACTCTTGTCCTACTGTAAGCCAACCTAAAATCATGAGACCCAATTATTTTTGAAATTGTGAAAATGTAACATATAGAAAATATAAAAAGTTTATGTAATTTACCAGGTCTTATATTAGAATCTTTTCCAAACAAGTGCAAGCGTCTTCTTCCCAAACAAAAATGTTCAATGATATGAAATATTTTAGTAGGTTTTTCATAATTACCAAAAGGAGAATCTTCAGAAATTATAAGATCAATATCTACATTTGCATGAATAAAATCACCATCTGTAGATCTGTAATAAATAATCTATTCATATAAACTTTATTCTTGCACAATTTATAATAACTTAGTGGCAACCCTTCTCACTTTCTTACTGTTCCTTTAATTCCCATAAGACAACGTTCTTTTGTTCTTTGAAGAACAACTCCATTTTCCAAATTTTTAGAATGTCCAGGAGTTTCTATATTTGTTCGAATCCAACAAATATCTTCACAACGACGAAATCCCCATCTCCTCAAACAATTTCTTCCCATATCCTTGGGGCTGGGGAAAAAATTTGGGAAAAAAAATTTGGGAAAAAAAAATTGTGGAAAAACCATGGAGTGGTTTGTTCCCGGAGCAAGATTAGTTTTTGATTTTTTGGGAAAAAAATTTTGGGGAAAAAATATGGTCTTTGATTTTTTATGAAAAAAAAATTGGGGAAAAAAAATTTGGACAAAAAAATTTTTGGAAAAAAAATTTGGACAAAAAATTTTTTGGAAAAAAAATTTGGGGCAAAAAATTTTGGGAAAAAAAATTAGGAAAAAAAAATTGGGAAAACAAATTTTGGGGAAAAAAATTTTGGGGAAAAACCATAAACCATTCTTTAGTCTTTGGGAAAAAAATTTTGGGGGAAAACCATGGTCTTTGATTTTTGATGAAAAAAAAAAATTGGGGAAAAAATATTTGGGGCATAAAATTCGGGGAAGAACCATAGTCTTTGATTTTTTGTAGAAAAAAACTTTGGAGAAAAAAATTTAGGAAAAAAAAATTGGGGAAAAAAATTTTTTGGGAAAAAAATTTGCTGAATAAAATGTTTGGGAACTGTAAACTTTGATTTTTTGTAAAAAAAATGTGGAAAAAGTATAGGAAAAAAATTTTTTGGAAAAAAATTGGGGAAAAAAAATTTGGAGAAAAAAAATGGGAAAATCCATGGACCTGTGACCTGTATGCAGAGCCATATTTAGAAATTTGGCGCCCTGGGCCACTGACAAAAATGCCGCCCCATCCCTGAATTTTTACTTAAATAGTTTTTATATATCATTTTTCTAAAATTAAAATAACTATTTGATTGCAGAAAATTTATTACGCATTACACACAATAAATAGTATGTATGAAACTTCCGGTACCAAAAATTAAAATTAAAAAAAAATTAAAATTTTTAGAAAACTTTTTGAACTTTTTGTACGCTGCTTTTATTTATTTATTTATTCATAAGCAACCCGTAATCAATAATAATAGATATAATTTCAGGCTCTTGTCAAGCTAATTCATAATTAATATTAAAAGGATAGTAATTTTATAAAAATCTTAGTAGCTGCACGAATTTCGCTTCTGAAAAAAGAGCTAAAAAAAGCATTCGAACATTAAATACAATGCTCATCATCAAGTTCATCATATTAAAGTCTATTTAACCACAAGTCAAGCTCAAAATTCTTGCACAAGGTTGAAACCGTAAAAATTTAAAATAATAAAATAGCAATAAGAAAAACATGGTTGTACAGGCGATCAAATGGTCAGACTACATAGATAAAGGATAAGGATTATGCAAGAAAATAGTTATTGAAATCAAATTGAGAAAATTCAGCAATGTCATAAAAAGCTAATTCTTTAAAAAGTTTAACTAGGAAAACATGAAATTTTTTGCTGTCTAAGTTTCGGATACTGGGTGGAAGTTTATTTATAAGCTGAATACCTAAACCGTAGAGCTGTCTAATTTATATGTGCGCGCCTTAATAAGTTTGTGTCTAGTGTTGTAGTTTGAGGAGGACGAAGCCATATCAAAAAGTTTCGAATTGTTTTTGATGAAAGATAATGTTACCAGCAGAAAAATGCATAGGATAGTTAGAGTATTGTATTTTTTAAATATGGGTCTGCAGGAAGTTTTACTGGGCAAGGAAAAAATTATTCGAATAGCTCTTTTCTGAAGCTTAAATATTTTAATTAGTACGGACGAAAAACCCCAGAATTGGATGCCGTAGGAAACGTGAGAATAAAAGTTGCTATAATAAACTGAAAGTAAGCAATTTAAACCGAGTTTGGGTTTTAGGGTGCGCAACATGAAACATGTTTTAGATAAAGTTGGTGATAGTGAGATAGAGATATGATGAGACCACTTTAAATTATTATTGATATGAATACCAAGAAACTTTGATATTTGCGAAAAATCATATATTAATATTATTGGATAAACGATTTTTTTCACAAAAAGATATGATTTGCGTCTTATCATTATTTAGGACTAGATTATTTTCACAAAACCATTTCGTTATTTCTGACATAACCACGCTTAATTTATGTTGTAATTCATTAAGAGATTTGGCCTTGATGATAACGCTGGTGTCATCCGCAAAAAGAATAAAATCACAAAGATTTGTACAATGGGGTAAATCATTAATATATATGAGAAATAAGAGAGGCCCTAAAACTGATCCTTGGGGCACACCCAATGTACTAGTCAATTTATCCGAAATTATTTGCTCGGGATCATTATTTAAGTAAACGCTTTGTGTTCGATTAGATAGGTAAGATTCAAATAGTTTAAGCGAACGTCCGCGAATACCACAATTTTCTAATTTGTCAAGAAGACTTTGATGAGAAATACTATCAAACGCTTTAGACAGATCGCAAAATATTGCAGTACAATATGTGGCTTCTTTGAAGGAGTCAATGATGTTATGAACTAAATTATAAAATGAGTGGGAAGTAGAATGGTTCTTCCGGAAACCATGCTGATTTTTGAACAAAATATTATATTTATTGAGAAAAGACGTTATTCTAGTAGGGACGGTAATTATTTATATCGTCTTTATTATTTTTCTTATGAAGTGGAAAATTTTTTGAATGCTTGAGGTGGGATAGAAATATTCCTTCATCGAAGCATTTATTTAATCATAACCTAAATTTATCTACGAAAAAGGAATAGAATTCTTTAAGAATAATCCTAGGTATCTGATACGGACCCGCTGAACTAGTAACTTTTATCGATAGAAAGGTTTGCTTTAGTTCTTCTAAATTTACAGGATAAAGAACGAAAGTAGAATTTTTTCGCGGATAGAGATTTAGTCGAACTAATGATGATCGAGTTGATTACGCTTGTTAATTTAGACGCTTCGTGACAAAAAAGTGATTAAATTTAAGAGATATGACTACTTAGCTGCGTAGAGACAAAATATAGAAGCGCGTAAGCGCCGCGTCAAATTGTAACGGATAAATAATGTTACAAAACCCATAGAAATGTAAACACAATTTATAATTATTATTAAAATATCTGATAACTTGATGTGCATATGTCTAATGATCACTTTTGACCGCCAAATGTTTCTTTTTCAATTTTCTTTATTGGATCACTGAAACCGCTAGACCTGCCTCCCACAAATTTAAACAGTTCTTCATTTTGTCTATAAATTTGTTAAAATTTTGTCTTTAAATTTTTTTTGAATGATATTTTCTCAAAAACTGAATTATCATTTCTAGCATTTTAGCCCATATTTTCGAAACAATTGGAACTGCCTTGGCCAATAACTAATCAGCACGTCTCGTTATCAATAGGAATCGAATCATTCAAATAAAATTTAATTTTAATAAATTTAACAAATAAAAGTTCATAATTTTTAAAACATTTCAAAATATAAAATAAAAGGTTTTTCAAATTCATTTTTTTTCATTTTTCAAAAAAATTTAAAGCTCTTTTTAAAATGTGATTTTCAGTGCGGGAAGTTTCAGCAATATGCCTTAAACATATTTTTCTTACTTTCAACTCATTTACGAATCTCTATATTAGCCAAATTGCCAAATTTTTCATTGCAATTGTATTATGTTTTGTTAATTATATTTCTTAAAATATAAAATGTTATTAAAAAAATGAGTTAATTATATGGTATAAAATTTTTTCTCACTATCCAAATTTTGCCGCCCCCGAAAATTTGCCGCCCTGGGAAGTAGCCCCGACTGCCCCTACTGTAAATCCAGCACTGCCTGTATCCGTCTCCCAGGAGAAGATGTGCCCCCGATGTTAGTGATTCGGTTCATATCCAACATGTATTGGTCCAGAGAAACAATGTATATGGGCAGCTTATATTGGCTGCCATCCGATAGTTTCCGTTTGATCTGGATAACTTGTCTCACTTTCACGCCTTTTGATAAGACTTTAAACTTCAGATTCGGGTATCGAAGGATGGAGTCCAGTCATCGTTATTTTTTTCGGTAAATCTTTCTTTATTGAGTAGGTGTAAAACTGGTAATGAAATGACATTCGCGTAATACTTTTTTAAGTTCCTCGTGTTCCTGAAATGTATCTGTGTAAATCTTGTGTAATTGTGTGTTGAGAACTGATATCAGATTTGAATTTTTGTGGTATCTCGGACGTATCTGATCGTCTTTAATTCTAAGTTAGCCTTGATAATAATGGGTGTGATTTTATCAGCTCCGATTTTCTTTTACTGTGTTTTTTGAGTGTCAGACTCTGATGGCAGTTGCCCAACATTTCTTTCTGGTTCTTTCTTCTTCGTTCTCTTCTTCCGTAAAACTTTTCGGTGCCCGTCCAACTACCTGTACGTATCCATATCCGACCGGTTCGATAATGCACCAAATTTGTTTTTGAGGGCACCGCTGGTCTGTGTACCTCCATGCTCATTTTGATCTTCTTCCCAGGCTTCTACCCGGGAATATTCTTGGATTCTTCAATACACCCAGCACTAATTAAAAAAGAACTAGTGGGGCGCATGGCATCGTACCTTAAGGCAAATTGCTGGAACTTCCCGTACCGTAATTAAACATTCGAGGAATGAAAATAATCAATAATTGTTTTGAAGATTTTCAAATAGATTATTTATTATAAATACATACTGTAAATTTATAATTATAAGTGCTTTTTAAATTGGGTGATGAGCGTATTTTATGTGTACGTTTACAAGAATCCATTTTTTTTAAATTAGATTTTTTTGATAATTTAGAAATTTTTTGACAATTTAGAATTTTTTTCGAAGTTTTAAATTTTTTGGAATTTAAAAAAACGTTTTTTGTAAATATTTTGGGAATTTGGAAATTTTTGAAAATATTCGATTTTTTATTAATTTTCGAAATATTTTTAATTTTTTGTAAGAAATTTTTTTTTTAATTTTTCGAAATTTAGTTTTTTTTTTGAAAATGACGAAAAGTTTCGAAAATTTGAATTTATTTAAACTTTGATTTTTTTTTGAAAATTTTGATTTTATTTTTAATTTTCAAAATTACTAAATTTTCTGTAAATGCATTTTTTGCACATCTACTCAA